ACTAAAAAAAGTAAAATAACGTGGGACATAAGTCTTAATTCTTCAATGTCTGAGATTGTATGGGTTAGACCATGGTTATACCTATCTGTCGACCTCGAGCCTTTAGTGCTGCTTTGCAGTAGAAACGGTGGGGTGCACGAAAGGAGCCTCCCTGCACGGCGGCAACAATCGGCAAGTACCTTACGCCGATGGGCAATTCTTTCACCGTGATGTATGCATAACAATGTAAGCCTTCGATGCGATAAGAAGAAAAAGTATCAGGACTACCTATTTACAGCCTTTGGAGTCGAAATCCTTGACCTGTGGGTCCTTTCATTTATACAAAATTTTATCTAAAAAAATTAATAGACTGTCTGGGAAACCCTAGAGCCGCCAGCAGTAGAACTCCTTGTGAAAGAGTTCGTCCAGGGTAGTACTGCCACCTTACCTATTTCTGCCGCCAAGCAGTAATGTGAGCATTACTGCGTTCCGGTTTGGAAGGTTAAGGGTGCTAGTGAAATTACGGGCACATCATGTCAACTTATACCTCAGGGTGACGGGCCCAGTGGCAGCGACCGTAGATCTTTAATTCATGCAATTTAATCCTAGTTTTAGTTTCTAATATTTAAACTTTAATTATACCTTACCTGTATATTTTAACTTATTGTCTAATAAGAAGTAGACACAGTTATATAGTAATAGACGAGCGAAAGTCGACGAGAACGAACTACTCGAATCACTTTGTTTTCTTACCTGTCAGTAGCCAAAGGCTGGTAGTACAGTAACCCCTGAGCAGGAGAGTGAGTGAGTCCCACTATGCCATCCATAAGAGTGAACCGTTCTCCATTGATGTCGTATTCGCCGAGGTCGGGATCAGGGTACATCGATGCATGAGTCACACGCCACGCGTTGTCACGACGGCCGTCGTACACGATTACTCCTGGAAAGAGACGTAGTTTAAAAACAAATTATGTGAGTGAAATAATAAAAGTTATTTATATCGAGTTTTTAGGTTTTAGCGATTGAAACTATTTTTTAGAATCTAAATCCCGTATCGTCGGGTAATAATAATAATAATGCATACACTCATGCCCCATAGCCCCACACTATGGAAACCCCGTGTCGCGGGTGTCATGGACACACACATAGACAACCACACATTACATCCAAACTCACGAGAGAAATAAATATTTTTTTTAATTATAACACACACTCAACATAGCCCCGCACTAGGGAAACCCTGTGTCGCTGTTGCCATGGATACACACATAGACATTCATTATTTGTTACATTTATTTCATTCATAGCCTGTAGAAGATGTGTTTATAAACGTTTGCATTAATGTATGAGAAATATATCTGCCACAGCGCATCACCGCTCGCGCGAATGTGTTCAACACCAAAGCACCTCCGACTTTGTACAGTCGAATTTGGCACTTTGCACTTTGTATCACTTTTACCGCAAGGGAACATAGAGGCGAATTTAATCTGTCGTGCTATAGACCCTATTAGTTACCTAGTGATTGTTGTTGAACTCGCAGATAATGGCGCGTTGGCGTTATTTTACGCAAGTAAATACGTAACCTTAACAACATACCAGCTTAATTAAGTCGACATGTTCTAAAAATAATCCTTTTCTCAAACATGCTTGGAAATATTTGCATTACATTCAAAAAACGAACACAAGTTAGTCACTTAGGGACCGTGAGACTTCGTAAGTATTTTACTGTCCACTTTTCTAAACTTTTAAATCTAGATGAGCTATGTAAACAGGCAAAGGAAAAACTAATACAGCCAACTGCCCAGTATTAGTAATAGCTAGAATTGAAAATACCTACGTATACCGCTTACTTAAAAAAAAAACAAAAAGGCGGTAAAATAAAATAAAGTGCTTTGGTCATTGACTTATTTGTAAGTCAATGGCTTTGGTATTCTTTTCTGTTTTTTCGTCTTTTTTGTATTTTAGTCGTGAAAAAAGAATGAGACGAGCGGTAACGAAAATACAGTAATGGATTGTACTTCTCCTAATTTCAAACGAGGTAATACAAACAAAACTTGTTGCCGGCTTGAGCCGGCTTGAGCCGGCATGAGCAAAGCAAGATACATGAAAACTTATGAAACTTCAATCAATAGCAACTAAGGTAAAGTTTGTTAGTATATAATATCGTAATGTGTAACATTGAAAGATATTAGTTCCGATACTGTAAATAAGCATAACAAGCCTTTGTTTGTTTCAGGTTGCTCTAATTTTAGGGATAAACGGTGCATGCAGGAGTACAGAGCTCACGAATATCATCATAAAGGACATAGAAAATCATAAATATATTTATATACTTTTAATATTAATTAATTTTGTTTTTTCTACTTTTTTTATTGTACATCTTCCTCTTTTTAGTTTTTTATTATTTCCTCGCATTGTTTGAGAAAAGCACTATACACGCCTTGGCCGGAATAGGGATTGCTTGACTCGTATTAATACAAGGTACATGTATTTATAATTTTAAAATTTAGTATGTATTGTATAATACATGTAACTCACTCCTCCAGCAATTCCTTACTTCCCGGCCTCTGCAGTAATGTGCTAATAAAACATTGTCATAAAACCGGCTACTCGTCACACTACCGCACGCGGACATGTGGCTACATAAGTACGTACATTTGGACTTGCTAAATTCTGCACGGTCATTGCGCAATGTTACAATTTCTCTGAACAAGTGGGTTTAATTAGCTGCTCGCAAACGCTTACGTCATTTTTGGAGAAAGCACCTTTGTGGTGTTCCGTACCGGAGTTGATAAAACCGAAATGTTACTAGCAACGATTTTGACCTGTCCTTGTGTGAATCATTATAATGATCTTATAGGCTCAAGTCATCATACTTTTAAAATCTAGGAAGGTAATAATAAACAACTATTGTTGCTACTCATAATAGATAACTAAACCCATACATAATTTTCGTTGAATTGTCGTTGCATTATAAAATATTGAAACTTTTCTCTAAGTTTGAATACAGCTTTTTAAGATAGCAAGTAACGATAGGAAGCCTATTTATTTTATTTAGATACCTATTTCCGTAAGGGTGCTGGTGAAATTACAGGCACATGGAACTTGTCAACTTATGTCTCAGGGTGACGGGCGCAGTGGTAGTGCCCCTCAGATCCTTGCGATTTAAAGCTCTGAATGGCACTACAACTGTCATGGACAGGCATGTAGCTCACCATCAAGCGCATGACTCGTTCGTCCCGTCACTTGGCATTATAAAAAAAGGGTAAACGTCATAGAAAAAGAAAAAAATATGTAATGGTCTGAAAGTACCATTATACATATAGCAGTCATTTTGTAGAGGCTTTTTTATTTTTATTACTGTTTTAGTTTCTTGCAGTCGAAGTTATATATTATAGTTATTTCAAAGACCTCAATAGCCGAATAGTTACGTTGTGGACCCTAGACGAAAAGCCCCGAGTTCGATTCTCAAAAGGATCAATCTGGAAAATGAACTTTATTCTGACTTGTATAGTCTTAGGTACTCGTAATAAATGATGAGTCCAGGGAAAGAATGATCAAAGTCACTTGAGGAGAATTTTAGGAAAAACTAATTTTTAAATTGAAAAGCTTTTAAATATTGGTGAAAAAGATACGCATAAATACTACCTGAAATATAAATCCTTGCCTTCATAAATGTATGTAACGCTGTGTAATCCAAATAATTCTTTCCCTGGTCTCTTCAAATGGAATCCCCTAATTTGAGACCAGGAAATTGATGTGGTTCGACGCATTATTGTTAAGATATACTCAGATTTATTCCTTGTCGTCGAAGTGCTACCAACACAGACCACATGTTACCAATGTTTAACTACATTATAAACCTTTGTTATAAACCCTACTTAACATTCGACGTTAAAACCACTCTCTAATGCTCGTGGAGCTAAATGCTTATACCCTTTGCACACTTATTCAACAAGGTTTTTTTTTATTAATGTTTCTTAGTGCTATTATTAACATATACGAATAATGTAAATAAAATACGCAATAAAAATTCTTAGCAAAATATAAAAATATATTTTTTATTTTATTGAGATTTATTTAAATCCGGAAAAATAGTTTCATTTCCTACATGTATTGGATCAAGTGGAAAGTCGATTTTTATTTGCGCAAAATATTTTTTTAATTTGTGGCCGCCGAAACGAACTATACACTTTCAAACAAAAAAGAATTTTCAAAATCGGTCCACAATATCGTGGAGAAATCGATACGTCAATGAACAAGTCAATAAAATTTAAGGATTTTAGGACCGCCACGAGAGTGGCAATTGGTCTACAAGTGACGGAGAAATCTAAAACATACATACAGCTGAACGTATAACCTCCTCCTTTTTTTGAAGTCGGTTAAAAATCACACGTAATATCCCGACGGAACACTGCTTCAAGACCGTAACACACTTTTTTACCTTTATAGGTTGGACAAACGACTATACACGTCGCTGGACTCGAAGCGACGAAACATATACTTATGCCTTAAATTACAACCAGTAATAATTTTACGCCAAGTATCGGCGTAAAAACGCCCCTACGGTCTAAATGTGCATTTAAATAGCCATATCTACTTTCACAAAATTTATATTCAATTGTTTTAGTGAAACTCGCCTGTCTGTGTGTCGAGTTGACCGCTGTGTTCGAGTGGCATGCACACTGGATTTCATGGTGTCGCTATCTCTGAGGTCTCGGGTTCGATCCCCGGCCCGGCCTATGCAGGAAATTAACTTTTCTATATTGTCTCGGTGTTTGTGGTAAATAATAAATAATAACGCACACACTCAATATAGCCTCGCACAAGGGAAACCCTGTGTCGCGGGTGCCATGGACACACATAGACAACTACAAATTACACCCAAACTCACGAGAGAAATAAATGTAGGCCATACAAATATTTCTCCCAAGTCGGGTATCAAACCTGGGACCTCTGCGTGGCAGTCGTTGGTAACCGTTCGTATGGTAACCGTTCAGTCACGGAAGCAGTAAAGTGCGGTAACGTCGTTGTTTCCCATTTCCATAACACAAGTGCTTTAGTCACTTACGTTGGGATCAGAGCTACGCATGTGATGTTATATAATATTTGGTTATTTATTTAAATGTCCTTCTTTACTTTTCAAACAAATCTAATCCTTGAACAGTAAAGTTTGCACGATTATATTAATTTTTAAGGATTTCTTAATGCAAGACTTCAAGTTACAATTGCTTACTTAGCGCCGCTATTATAGTTAATTGTATAATTGAAGCCTCCAATTACACAATTAACTATAATAACCTTAAAAACGCAAATATTTATTGCACCATAAATTAGTATTAGATTAGTTATTCATTAATATTTAAGAATGTTAATAGCGAGTAACCGATTTCTGAAACTACGTACAGTCCCATATCTTTTCTACATAAGTTTTGTTTATAGTACCTTTTATAGTGGCCTTAAAAAAGGCGGTAAAATAGTTTATAGTGCTTTAATATAAAACTGCCTCTGTGGCTGAACAGTTACCATACCGGACTGCCACGCAGAGGTCCCAGGTTTGATTCCCGGGCCGGGTTAAATATTTGCATGGCCTACATTTATTTATCTCGTGAGTTTGGGTGTAATATGTGGATGTCTATGTGTGTGTGTCCATGGCACTCGCGACACAGGGTTTCCCTAGTACGGGGCTATGTTGAGTTTGTGCGTTGTTATAATATTATTTTCTGTTTTTTCGTTTTTTTTGTATTTTCGTCGCGAAATTGAGTTCTAAAGATAAAAAAGATAATGAAAATTTAGTAATAGATGCACCCTCAACACATCATCAGACGTTCGACAAACTCCTATTAATGTGCTTGAAAAAACAATAAATTTTCTTTTAGAAATTGTCCTAACATGCCAAACATTACTTATAGTTCTAATTATTATACACTTTAATTTACACATATATTTATTATACATATATATTCTGTTATACACTTCCTCTCTTTAGTCTTTTATTTCCTCACATTGTTTGATAAAAGCATTACAGATGCCTCGGCGGGAACGGGGATTGCGTGCCTCGTATTAATACTCTCTAAATTTATACTCGTCCAGCATTCTCTTACTTCCTGGCCTCTGCAATAATTTACTTATTATAATTATTAAATATGTATGCATGAGATATAAATTTGAAACAAGTGTGAATGTATGACAGAATCTAAATTGCAAGCACAGTCGTAAATAATTGTCTCATTATTCTATATGACAAATTAGTTAACTACGAAACATATTACAAATAGAAAACAAAAGTACATAATAAAATAATGACTACGCGTTTTAAGTCGTGTCTTGCCGGCGGTGTTTTATTAATGGCATTTTAAACCTTATTATATTAAGCCACCAATATATCGCGACTTAGAATCGCTAACTAATCGCTCGTTTCGTAATTGTGAATATGAATGAGGTGTGCTATTGTATCGAGTTTGCTAATATGCCACTCACATCGTGACATGGTTACCTCGTGCAGATTTTTCTGTGGGAAACCGTGATTATTGGATTATGTTATGTAAGAGATACTTATTTAGACGACCTCAGTGGCAAAATCGTTGCACTGCAGGGACTAAATCAGGTCTTGGGTTCGATTCCCCTTAGGACCAATTTGGGAAAATACCTGCCTAAAGTGGTTTTGCCCTGGTAGTACCCCGGAGTGAATTCCGTAGCCGTCGTCAATAGATTCCAGGTCAGGTAGAGCCTATGAAATTAACTTTTGTTTTTTCTATTAGGAAACAACCACCTGGTTTCAAACTAGAGAAGACCCTATACTCCCTATGAGTACCAGACAAACTACCAGAACACTCAGATCAGAACCACTTTACGGCACAAAAAAGGGTACCGGGATCTCACAAACCTATGCTTAAAATTACGAAGGTCGCGAATAAGTCGAAGAAGCACAACCAACCCTCTTGTTGGTATTTTGGTACAGGGACGGACGAAAATGGAAAAAATAGAATAGTGATATTAATAAAATTTAATATTCCATAGACTGCAATACTTCCAAAAATATTATAGTTCCATGAAAACAAAAACCAAACAAAAGTTGATTGATCCGTAAATGTCGCGACCTGGTGCAATTAACTCATAACATATTATATATGTATATTTTTTTACAATACTAAGTGACGGGGCGAAGAATTCATATCTGTTCATAGCAGTTGCAGTGCCACTCAGAGCTTTAACTCGCAAAGATCAGAGAGACACTACCACTGCGCCTGTCATCCTGAGATATAAGTTGACAAGTCCCATGTACCTGTAACTTCAACAGCACCCTCACCCTTTAAAACCAGAACGCAGAAATGCTCACGTTACTGCATAGGTAAGGTAGCAGTACTTCCCATGACGAACCCTTTCACGAGGAGTTCTACTGTTACTAAATAAAAGAAATTGACAAATATTCTTTTTAACAATATAATTATGTTATATATTTCCACGTTTCGGAAGGAAAAGTGATTGATTAGCTGTTTAAAATGTTTAAAGAGCAATTTATCTGTTCATATATTAGACAATCCGCTTCGGCGAACAACCGATAAATCATTAAATCATGTTATGTATAACTGAAAACAGACAGCAATTATACTGTTGGTTCCGTATACGCATTGCTAATCAATTGGTCTAAGTATTTGCTGTTTTTGTCGACATTTGTGGAAATAGTAAATTATAAAAACATGTATTGCGTCCTCATGTTAATATCCTCATAGACAATCATAGCAACGTGATATTTATTTCCACATTTTAAATACATCAATGCGTCACATTCGAAAGACATCAACGCGGTAATAAATTAAATAACAGTAATTAATGAAAATACGGTAATGAACAGAAATACAGTAATTAATGAAAATACAGTAATGAATGGACTTACAGTAATGATTGGAGATATGATAATGAATGGAAAGGCAAGTTACTATAATCAGCCCATATAAGTATGTCCGTATACATAATACGTGTGTCACACAGGTGGGTATGATTTTACTTGACGTACCTTTTCTAATAGGGTTCCGTAAATTCGGTTTGGGGCTATCTCAATTAGTCGATTTTAATCAAAATTAAAGTGCTTACCCGGAGCGACTGTGTCACTGATGTAGGCGAAGATGTTATCACAGGTGGCGGTTAGACGGTGCGGTGTGGAAGCCCGGGTGTCGTCGAGTACCAGGTTTGTGAGCAGAGAACTTGGCCTGAGCAATTCGCGTGGAAAGTACACACTTCGTACCTGAAATGAATCCAATAGTATAATGTAAACACATTTAAACTGTTAGACTGCCACGCAGAGATCCCGGGCCAAGAGAAATATTTATTCTATAGATATTCTATTATACAAAGATTAATAGAAATAGAAAGAATTATATAATGAACTGACAATAGAATATTAAAATTACCACAAGTATACATTATGTACCACCAGTAATACCTAGTACATATTTTCAATCTAGTACTATTTACTGTATGAAGGTCAACAGGATTTGAATAAGTGTAATTATTCAACTTAACCGATAGTCAGCACGGTTTCAGATGTGCTAACTTATCCTTATTTGTATCGACGATATCTCGGGAAGTTGATAGAGGCCTGCAAGTGGATACAATATATATTGATTTTACCAGCGCCTTCGACACAGTTTCTCACTCAGTGTTATTATCAAAACTTGATATTCGGTTCGCTCTTGGAGTGGTTTAAATGTTACCTGTTAAAAAGACCACAGGTTGTGGTAATGAATGGATTCGATTCCAATACGTATTTATCTAGTTCTGGAGTACCGCAGGGATCACACTTTGGTCCCTTGTTATTTTTAATATTCATAAATGATGTTACGTCACAGATAAGGTACTGCAATGTCTCTATATTTGCTGATAATTTGAAGCTAAGCAAAACTATCAAAACTTTGAGTGATGACTTTTACAGTCGGATTTGGACAATTTGTATATATGGTGTACTACAAATGGTACGTCGCTCAACAACTATAAGTGTTACCACATTAGTTTCACTAGGAAAAGAAGTCCGATCATTACAACATATACACTGCATGGGATGGCTTTGGTAAAGGTGGAGGATATGCGCGACTTAGGTGTTGTGCTTGATTGTAAGTTAAATTTTAACTCTCACGTTGATAAAATAATAAAAAGTGCAGCACGCATTCTGGGCTTCTTGAAAAGAAACTCAAAGGAATTCATCCAGGTGCAGACGAAAAAAGCTCTTTAATATGCCTTGGTGAGTAGTCGCCTAGAATTTACCAGTGTAGCGTGGAGTCCTTCTTATAGCGAACCTTCTCAGCGGATAGAATCCATTCAACATGCATTCACTCGTTACCTGGCATTTACGTCCTCAGGCATTTGTCAGGTTATGGACCTGTTATTTCTATACAACATTATAAATAACAAGACTAAGTGTTCCGATCTTCTCAATAAAATTTATCTTGCTGTACCTTATAACTATCCCAGACAACCAGTACAAAAAGTATTCAATATTCCGAATCACAGGACTAATTTAGGTTTTCATTGTCCCCTGTCCAGGGGATGCCGCGAATATAACGAAATTACTTATAAGGCTCCTTTCATAGATGTTTTCAATAATTCGCCGAATGTTTTGAAAATTAAACTTCTGCATCATTTAAATGTCGTATAGGCTGTTGTAAGCCTCCCGTTTGGATTTATTAACTTGGAATTTATTGTTAATGTTTACATAGTTCTTGGCAAATGTTGTGTATACCTATAATTGGCAAGCATATTTATATTGATACCACTGTTTGTTATGTGTTATGATGGAAATTGTTATATATGTTTTGCTGTTGGTGTACCCTTTTATAAAAAATGAAATAAAATAATTCGATTTGCATTACAAACACTTAATTAAAAATGAATGACAACGACAATTATTTATAATAATCTAGATTGATATATGTATGAGTTGACCTTAGTACGCAACTTTTACATTTTTATTTTATAATAAATAGATGTACGTTTTTTACTTACTAATTACCAATCTTTAGACAGGTACGTAAAATACAATAAAAGCTGAAATATTTAAAACTAAAAATTTTTTCATGATACAAAGTGACGGGACGAACAAGTCGCGGGCCTGGTGGTAAGTGACACGGATAGCCATAACAGTTGCAGTGCCGCACAGCTCTGGATAGCTATGCGAATACTTTGAGTAAGTCTATGATTTTTTTTTTATATTTGTAAAGATTAAGTGCACGGGGACCCCACGGGCCAAAGGTTTCGACTCCAAAGAGTACAAATAGGTAGTCGGAGCCGTGGTCCTGGTATTTATTACTCTTTAGTTTTTCCGATAGCCCAGCTGCGGAACCCTCTTGCTGGTGTGCTGGAGACGGGATAGGGTAGTAGTGTGTCGACACATGTGGCGTCTCACGCCCGTACTATAGTATTTGTTTTCTCTGGAGCTTTTATTTTACGTACAAAACAAAAGGCTTAAGTTTATCCAGAAAGTTCGAACGGCTTAATCGAACACTGAGTTTGAGACTGTGAAGCTTGCCTACACGACCACGGCCTTGTCTGAACGAGTTGCTTTGATCGCTGCTCCAGCGACTGCCAAGCATTCAATTCTAACGGGGCAGATGCCGACCTCTTAGATTTATGCGATTGTTAGGTACACGTTGATAGTTAAACTATTTTTTCACGTCTCATGCCCTGAAAGTACGTCAATATAGCCTTATGCAGCGGGAGTAAAGTGTATCATTTAATCCCTCGGGAATAAAAAGTACTTAGCCATTTAATTTATATCGAGTGACCCGGACAAACTCAAACAGCCAGTACTTGTTTTAGTTTGTGCCAAAAGGTTCAATAAGTGAAAATATAAAGACCGCTAATTGTGGCGTTTCGTTGTGAATGTTGTATTTGTTTATGGTTGGAAAAAAATACACGTTAACAAACTAACGTCCCAAACGTTGCTCTTTACAGTTGGTTTGTTTTAGAAAAAAACAATTACATGCGATTTAGATCCGAAAAAGTAGTTTTATTTCTAAAAATGCAGAAGAATCAAAGGTGGTTGTTACCACCTTTATCTGTGACACAATATATTTATATACGAATGCCCGTCGTTGTCCAATTTTTCTGTCAGCGTTCAACCTTGGTCAACCGCAAATCTCTCCATGACCTAGACATGTCAAAGGTCAGACAGTGATATCTCAGGATAACATATAACCTTAAACAGCTGACTGCTCACACTATCGTGCATATAGCCCTCGTACGGAGTTTCCGCAGGACGCATTGCAGAATTGCAGGATGGTTTGCACACTGCAATTACATTCATAATCCTGCATCATGCGGTGGACGAGAAGGCGGACTGCAATGCAGGATAATGTATGCCCCCTTTTAAGCTTATCGAGGTTTTGTGTAATTGGATACTAATGAAAAATAGTGACCCAAAGTAAAATTTACCGCCTTACTTTCTCAAACTCGTATCTTAAACCATCAAGTTAGTGAAATGCAAAAAATGGATGTATATACACATTTTCACAAGCCAATTTCACATCACATTTCCTTCACGCAGTCTTTTATCTGTCCTTAAGGTAATGCATCCAAATTTACACCCGAGATAAGAAATTTAAAATAAATATTATAAATTTAAAGTTTTGCCATCTCCTGTATAATCACTCTTTATAAGATAACGAGTTTGAGAAAGTAGGCCTTGATCATTGACTTACAATTATATGGACGTCTGGTCCTCGCTAAATAGTGTCCGAACTTATTTTTAAAATCGTATACAGAGCGTCATTCACGCTTTAGTCTTCGTTTGTTCGACTGACAGCGAAGCAAGCAAAATTAGACAGTACTGCGATGACATTATAATTTAAATTCAACGTTTTGGCTTTTTCATATTCCTTGACATGTCACTACGTTTAAATAGGTTGACTTGAGACATTTTTTTCGTGGTTTTTGTATTAGACCCGTCGTCCATTTATTTATAAGTCAATGGCCTTGATATAGCATTTTTTACGTATGTAAGATCATTAAAATTATACAGTAATATTAAATTATGTATTTTTTAGGAGAGTGAATTCTCCCGGCAATGGTATCGAGTATAAAGGTTGGACCTGACACGCAGCCCCGGTTTGGCAAACAGTCGTTTGTTTGTTTTACTGACGTTATAAAAATATAAAACCATATGTAACCACGACTTAAAAAAGTCGTGGTTAGTCGCATATTTTTCTCAGATGGTTATTAATTTTTAACCGACTTCAAAAAAAGGATTCGGAAGAGGAATCGAAAAAGAGGAATTCGACTATGTTTTTTATGTATGTGCGATAACCACGGTATTTGTGCACTGATTTTCATGATTTTTTTTTTGTTGGAAAGAGGGTACCCAATAGTGGTCCCATTTAATTTTGAAGAAAATCATCCACCTCTAAGGGTGGCTATTCACGCATGAAGATTCATTTTTATAAATAGCGCCTAAATTTTATTATAAGGAGCAATTATTTTAATGGTTGATTTTGCTATTCTCTAATTCAAGGCGTTTTTCTCTCTCAATATACCTTGAGTAGGGAGAACCGATTTTTGTTATCTCACGTGTCAAGTTCCGTATAGTGGCGAACTAAGGGATAAATCCGGGTTTGCACACTTTCCGGTAACCGTTTTCAAAAAACTTGGCAAATAGATGTAATTCTACGTACTTTTCTTTTTTTAGTACTCTGTACTGAGATTATTTAGATCACAAACAGAGGCACTCAGAAGCACCACATTATTCGTATACCTAAATATTATTTATGCACATTTAGTAGCAGTAGAACTCCTTATGAAAGAGTTCGTCCAGGTAAGTACCTACCTTACCTATTTTTGTCGCCAAGCTGTGTTATGAACACTACTGTGTTCCGTTTTGGAAGGATAAGATGCTAGTGAAATTACAAGCACAATGAAACTTGTCAATTTATGTCTCAGGGTGACGGGCGCACTGTCAGTGCCTATATGATCTTTGCGATCTTGGCTCTCAGTGACACTGAAACTGTTATGGATAGGCGTGTCGCTTATCATCAGGCGCACGACTAGTTCGTCCCGGCACTTGGTATAATAAAAGACAATTGTCAATATAGCAGTCGACACGGGCTCTGGCCACTCCTATCAGTGCGGTAATATACATGTTGAATAGCATCCCAACAGGTATGGCTCAGAAAATTTTTCAGCCCACCTTACAACATTGACTTGGTTGTGGTACCAGTACATGAAAATATCTAATAGTTCAGAAGGCATACAAATGTC